GAGACAGGCTCCTGGCTTGGGCCTGGCTCAGCCTCAACCATTGTGGCCGTTTGGGAAGTGAACTAGTGGATGGAAGATCTTGCTGTCTCTGTAAGCCTACCTTTCAAATAAACATGAATCTTTAAAAAAAAAAAAATACAGCATTTTCATTGTTCTCCATAAAACCTCGACACCCCTTAGCCGTCTTGGTTGAGTTTAGTGTTCCAAATGGTCAGTTCACTGAAACTGGCCAAGAGAGATTTTGCTGACTTTAAGGTTAGTTAAGTCAGCTTTCCACCACCTCCCTTTCTCCAGCTGTCTTTGTGGGTGGAATTGGTTGATTAGGTGACACTACCTACTTGAGTGTTTGTGTGTGTGTGTGTGTGTGTGTGTGTGTTTTGGTGCATTATTTAAGCCTCAGGACAATCCCCCGTGGAGCTGCTGGTTTTGTCCTCGTGTTACAGGTTACAGATGGGGACACTGATGCTCACAGAAGCCCAGGAGCTAGAGGCACTGGCTGCAGGCCCAGCAGGGATGTGACCCTGCAAAATCTTGGATTGTGCAGGCCCTCCGTGCTGACTCCCAGGAAGCCTCTGGGCTGTGATTTTTGGGCCCTTTGTCCCATTTCCTACCTGCCCAGCACATCCGCTTGGCCTTGACTTTGAGCAAGGTTAGAGAGGGGTGGTAGGCAGAGGTGGGAGTCTGGCCAGAGATGGGGCAGGGCTTGGTGGCTCTGACAGCAGGTTTTGTGCTAGGTGGAGCTCCTGAAAAACTTGGGCAGAGTCCACCTGTTCCATCTTGTGGGTAGGAAAGCAGCCAGCACTGTCAAGATCACAGCCGGAATTTCCAGCCAAAGGCCGGGGTTGCCCCCTGGTGGATCTGCACTCTGGTGCAGAAAAAAAAAAGTGGGGGCAGTGAGGGTGTTGTTGTCTGGGTCTAGTTCCTGGGACCTGGGGTCAGGGAACCAGGCACTGAAGGCTGGATCTGCTTTTCTGCCTCAGCTTTGACCAGGATTCAGTACTGCAAGGGGCAAGATGAGAACTATGTCCTAGCATTAGGCTGAATTGGCATCCAATCTCAACTGTGCAGTTCACTAACTGGGCATTCTCTGGCAAGTTTCTCATCTGTCAAATGGGTATAATTGAAGTTCATTTAAAAAAATAGATTTATGTTTTCTAATATTTATTTATTTATTTGAAAGGCAGAGTTACAGAGAGAGAAAGGGACAGAGAGATATTCTATCCACTGCTTCACTCCCCAAATGGTTGCAACAGCTAGGGCTGGGCCAGGCCAAAGCCAGGAGCCAGGAGCTTCTTCCGGGTCTCCCATGTGGGTGCAGGGGCCCAAGTACTTGGGCCATCTTTTGCTGCTTTTCCAGGCACATTAGCAGGGAGCTGGATAGGAAGTGGAGCAGCTGGGGGTTGAACTGGCACCCATATGGGGTGTCAGCATTGCAGGCAGGAGCTTAATCTGCTGGCCGCAATGTCTGCCCATGAAGTTCTGCTTCAAAGGAAATGGGAACACCTGTGTAGAGAGCAGGCCACCCGTGCTGATGTGTGCTCAGTAAGTGTTAATGATTATAGTTGGTAGGAAGAGTACCTTTGGGGAACTTTGGGTTCTGTCTCCTCATTTGTAAAACAAAGACAGTTGAAAATACCTCCCAGGGTTTTGGGGAAAATTACATGTTGAACCCAACAGATGGAAACACCCAAGTTCTGCTACACACCTAAGGGTTACTTGTGTTATTCAGTTCCTATGTGGAAGGCACTGTGTTTACTTATTCAGCAAATATTGACCATGGGCCTGTTGCAAGGCAGATTCTGTGCCAGAGCTGGCCATGTAGCTATGAACCTATTGGCGTTCAAGTTCAGTAAGAGCCTGTATAGAGTGCAAGGGTCGGCACACTTTCTCTGTACAGAGCCATTAAGCAAATATTTCGGTTTTTGTGGCCACGTGGTCTCTGTTGCAACTGCTCAGCTCTGCCGTTGTAGCAGGAAGCAGCCCCAGCCGATCTGTAAACCAACGAGTGTGGCCACATGCCAAGAAAACTTTATATGTGGGATTTGGAGTTTGAGTTTCATGTAATGCTCACATCATAAAATATTCTTCTTTTGATTCCTACTTCTTTATTTAAAGAAAAAAATGTAAAAACCTAGGGGCCAGTGTTGTGGCATAAGTGGGTTAAGCTGCTGCCTTCAACACAGGCATCCCATATGAGCCTTGACTCAAGCCCTGGCTGCTCCACTTTCAATCCGGCTTCCTGCTAAGGACCCTGGGAAAGCAGTGAGGGGTGGCCCCTGCCACCCATGTGGGAGACCCAGATGAAGGTCCTGGCTCCTGGCTTCAGCCTGCTCAGCCCTGGCTGTTGTGGCCAATTGGAGAGTGAACCAGCAGGTGGAAGATCCCTTTCTCACTCAAACTCTGCCTTTCAAATAGATAAATCTTTAAAAAAGAAAATAAAATGTTGGGGGCTGGCATTGTGGCGCAGCCAGTTAAGCCACTGCCTGTGATGTCAGCATCCCATATGAGTGCTGGTTCAAGCCCTAGCTGCTTCACTTCCCATCTAGCTCCCTGCTAATGTGCCTGGGAAAATTGTGTGTTGTGGCTGTTGCAGCCATCTGGGAGATAAAACCAGTGGAAGGAAGATTCTCTCTCTCTCTCTTTCTCTGTCTTTCCCTCTTTCTCTGTAACTCTGCCTTTCAAATAAATAAATAAATCTTTAAAAAAATTCATTAAAATATAAATAAATCATAAAATTGTTTTGAGATGCCAAAAGCCTTTCTTAGCTGCGGGCCATAGAAATATAGACAGTGGCCTCAATTTGGCCCTCAGGCTGTCATTTGCTGGCTCCTGGCTGGTGTACCCATAGCTTTTGTGGTGTTGAGCAAGATAGTCACCCAGTTTCTTAGTTTTGGGTTTTCGCCGCTTTCTTTGTTGGTTTACATCTCTCTAAGTCCCCGTGGACCATCTGTTGCTGAACTAGTGGGGAGTTAGGTCTTTCCGTATCTGGTGCTAGGTTTCCCACTGCAGCCCTCTTGTTTATTTTGGGTCTCACACACAGGAGGTGCCGGCTTTCACAGTAAGTCACCATGAATTTGTCACTCTGCTTTCTGTCTGTTGTCTTCCCTTTCGAAACACTTTATTCTGTCTTTGCTGAAGACACATTTACCCCATTTTACAGATGAGCAGAGTCCCAGAAAGGACCATGACTTCCTCAAGGGTTGCTTAGTCAGTGGGGGCTCCCAGACTGGCACAGAAGGTTCCCTCCCCTCTGGGGAGCTGTGAGAGTGCAGAGTTCTCTGCTGAGCTGGAAAGTTGGGCTTTCCTGAGTCAGGAGGCTGTCTGTCTTCTGTTCAGCTGTCCTTCATACATGACGTCATGTGTCACGTGCTGGGCAAGACATCCAACATGCATTATGCACTCATACCACAAAGGTTTAGTGGGCTCCTATACAAGGGGCTTCAAATAGTTCATGGAAAAAGTGTATTATGAAAAAGCTGCATGAATTTCAAAAAACTTTTGCACCAAATTAACCTTACCTTTTCATTCCACTTTCCACAGTCTTTTTCAGTGTCCTCATACACGCCAGGCTCTGCTCTTGGCAGTTAGGATAGAGCAGTGAGGAAGACAAGGGGGGACCTCACGGTACTTACAGAACAGCTGGGAAGGGTCCGGTGTTGTGGCACGATGTGTTAAGACGCCACCTGTGACTCTAGTATCCCCTATCAGAGTACCAGTTGGAGTCTCAGCTGCTCCGCTTCCTATCCAGCTTCCTGCTAATGTGCCTAGGAAAGAAAAAGAGGGTGGCCCAAGTACTTCAGCCCTGCCATCTACGTGGGAGACCTGGGTGGAGTTCTTGACTCCTGGCTTCCATCCGGCCAAGCCTTGACCATTGCAGGCATTTGGGGAGTGAACCAGTGGATGGAAGCGCGCTCTCTCTCTCTCTCTCTCTCTCACTGTGCCTGTCAAATAAATGATTAAACGTTGGGGCCAGTGCCGTGGTGCAGCAGGTTAAAGCCCCAGCCTGCAGCGCCGACATCCCATATGGGCGCCAGTTCAAGTCCTGGATGCTCCGCTTCCAATCCGGTTCTCTGCTGTGGCCTGGGAAGGCAGTGGAAGACGGCCCAACTCCTTGGGCCTCTGCACCTGGGTGGGAGACCCAGAAGAAGCTCCTGGCTCTTGGCTTCGGATCAGCTCACCTCTGGCCGTTGTGGTCATCTGGGGAGTGAACCAGCAGATGAAAGACTCCTCTCTCTGGCTCTACCTCTCTCTGTAACTCTGTCTTTCAAATAAACAAAATAAATCATTTTTTAAAAAAAAATGATTAAATGTTTAAGAAGAACAACAGAAATGGAACACGTAGAAAACAAGAAAGTAGACAACAGCGGTATGGCCACTGGGGACTGTGATTAGGGCCAGGGAATAAAACGGGGAGCCAAGCACTGTGCCAAGTACTTCCACGGTCATTGTGAGAGTTCACCCAAACAGTCCATCCAGGCAGTAGTCAAGCTGCAGACTGAGAGGCTCAGAGAAGTCTAGTAACTTTGCTGGTGCCGCAGGCTGGGGAGGGGAGACTGTGAATCAGCCCCTTCCCCCGAGTGCTGGGAGCAAAGAGAAAGGCCTTGAGTGCTGTGCTAAGAGATTCTTTGCTAGGTGCTGGGGAGAAGTTGAAGGTTTTAAGGAAGGAGGAGTGTCAGGTCAGGCCTCTTGCAGAAAGCTCACCCTGACAGCAGTGTGGCAGGCGGGAGGGGCAGCCAGGGACCCCTCAGGAAGATGACCCTTGGAGTCGTCTCGCAGAGCAGTAACGATGGGCAGCTGTGGTAGAGGGCAGCAACTGGGCTTCAAAAGGGCTGGCTAAGGACAACTGCCAGGGCAAGGTCTCTGGGAAGACACAGAACAGAGCTGGGGAGCATGGGGAGCCCTCAGAGCTGAGGAGCAGGCGTAGCTTAGTTGGGGGCTCCTGAGCCGGATCTGGAGCCGTAGGCTGGCAGGAGCAAGCTGCATTTGGGTTCTACCCTCAGGGAGCCGGCGGCTGGTGGATGTGATGGACGTGAACACCCAGAAAGGCACGGAGATGAGCATGTCCCAGTTCGTGCGCTACTATGAGACCCCCGAGGCCCAGCGGGACAAGCTGTACAACGTCATCAGCCTCGAGTTCAGCCACACCAAGTTGGAGCACTTGGTCAAGCGTCCCACTGTGGTAGGCGCCTGGTTGCAGGCCCTTCCCCTGGCACCTGTCACATCACCTTGCCTGCCTCCTGTGCCTCTGGCCTCAGCTGGCCCCCTGCGGGAGGCGGGAGGGAATGTTGGGAGGAGACTTTTGGCTCCAGTGCAGGCTGAGGCAAGAAGAATGGGTAGGGGGCCCAATTAAAGGCACCAAAAGACTGCCCAGGGCAAAGGGGGGCATCGGTGGCTGGCCTGGCAGTGGAGCCTGCGAGGGCTGACAGTGGTCTGGCTTTCAGGTGGACCTGGTGGACTGGGTGGACAACATGTGGCCCCAGCACCTGAAGGAGAAGCAGACGGAAGCCACGAACGCCATCGCAGAGATGAAGTACCCGAAAGTGAAGAAGTAGGACTGCCTGGCTGGCGGGGACAGGGGAGGGTGACCTTGGCCGTGGGGAGGCTGTGAGGAGGCACAGCCCTCCCCTGCTGACCTGAGCACTGCTGTGCAGCTGCTGCCTTCAGAACTGAAGGACTAAGCTGGGCTGGGCCACAGCCCTACAAGGGCACAGCCGGGACCTGTGGGGTGGGGGTCTTGGTGTGGGCAGGTGGTGTCTTGCATCTGTGGAATGCAGGGGCTCTTTCATTTCTGGAGCTGGACTCTCCACTGAGATGGCACGTGGGCCTCCCTGTCGGGTTCCCCAGCAGGATGTGACCCAAGGAGGAGAGACGGGAGGCGTGTGTGTCTGCATGTGTGCTTGTGGAACGTTGGTCTGCTCCCTCCACGTTCCTGCATATTCTGAGAGTGGGTGTTTTCAGAAGGACCTGCCCACAATGCTCTGCTTTTGGCAAGGGACGGGGAGGGGTCTGGTGCTTGCCTGTTCCTTGGTGCTGAGACCTGAGACCTCTGATGCAGCAGAATCTTTCCCAGTGTAAACCCAGGGGCCTCTTACTCGCCAGAGGTAGCTTAGGTGATGTCCTGCAAGCAGGAGGTTGGGTCTGGGCCAGGAAGGAGGCCCCGGTCATGGCCTCAAGGTGCGGGAGGAGGAGGAGGAAGTCTCCGTTGCGGTTCCCACCATCTCAAACCCTCCGTCTTTCCATCCCCAAAAGCGAAAGGAGATGCTGCCTGGCCCAGGCAGGCCTGGCGCTCTGGGCTTCCTAGAAGAGCTGGTGCTGGCAGCCCCGACTCCATTAGCATCCTCTGTGCTCAGCCCTGCTGCCAGCAGTGCCCCCAGGAGCTTCAAGGCTGTGAACTTTCCATTCATTCGGCCCTTCATTCAGTGCATATTGAGTGCGGACCGCATGCCAGGCCTTGTAAGGGAGGCCAGCACGCCCGGCTCCCAGCCCTCGGGGTTTTGCTTTCAGGCTGTCTCTCGGATTACTTCGCAGGCCTTTTTCTTGCCCTCCAGAGCCAAAGCTCCCTACCCCCGCCTGCATCTGGGCAGCCTCACAGGCAAAGGCCAGGCTCCAGGTGGCGAGGGAGGGTAGCTGGGTTCGTTTTCAATTTGGTCTGTTCTGTTTCCATCACAGCACAATTTACAGAGCCCCTGGGATGGGGAAGACAAAAATAATGATCAAGACTAGAGACCATGCGTGCTGGAGAATGGGCTGTGATGGCCAGCGCTGCAGCAGCTCAAATCCTAGCAAAGGGACAGCATTTTGGCTGGGGGAAGCCTTTCTGTAGTCAGGAAGGCTTGGGGAGTGGAGAGGTGTGCACGTGACTTGGACTTTAGATAAACAGAGGAGGTGGGAGGAAGTAGGGAGGGAAGGAGGAAGGAAGTACACAGGCCCTTGGAGGAACTAGGAGGAGAGAGCTGGGAGAAAGGATATGGGGCCCAGAGATGAGTTCCAAGCAGAGGACGGCTTATGGATTAATTGAGTGATTGATGGGTCCATTCAGCAACTGAGTGTTGAACGTCTGATTGGGGAACCCAGGAGAGACAGAACCAGAGGAGGCCCCTGTCCTCTAGGAGGGAGGACGGATGCCAATCCAGTCGTCATAGAAGCAAATGGAAGTTTGTACTGTGGCCTGCAGTGCTATGGAGCTCACATCAGGGAACTCACGTGGCCCCAGAGGCCAGGAGCCGCATCCAGAGCTGGGGTCTGGAGGGCTCCAGGGGACCCTTGCATGGGGAGCACTGGGAAGCGCTTCCCTGCTGGGTGCAGAGGAGCTGGGATGGCCAGGAAGCATGGGGGAGTTGCCAGAGCTGGGGCAGGGTGAGGGCAGCAGGCTGATGGGGCCTGACTCGCCGTCCTTCCCTGAGCACAGGTTTTAAGTCCCATGGTTTTAAGCGGAGAAGGACACGCCGAGGTTTTTCTTCAGCATCCTGCTGATGCCTTGGGGCCTGCAGGAGGTGGGGCTGGGTGGTCATGAGGAGGCGGCCGCATGGTCAGGCAGACAGAGATGGGACCGGGATAGGACAGGGACAACACAGGGAAGACAGAGTGGCACTGGGGGGCACAGATCTCGATGAGTTAATGACTGCTTTGCCTCGCAGAGATGCTCACTATCTTCTTCGCTTTCTTTCAAGGAGTCCTTTAAATAGCAAGCACTATTAATACCTTTAGGATCCTGTCTGATTTATCAAAAAACAAAAGGGCTCACGCACAGTTTTTCTAGGATCACATGTCTCCTCCGGTGCATGGGTTAAAAATTGCACGGCAAACAGATTTACAAAGCCTGTCAGTAGCCACGGGAACATGTTTAAGGATTTGAACCTTGTTAGGAAGGACACTGCCACCTCAGAAATAGTCCATTTGTTTGGCTGAAAAGAACGCTGATCTGTAATGTACTCTCCCACCTCCAGGTAAAGATCCCACCTGGAATGGGTCTGCAGAATTGAATTAAAATGACGTTGTTTCTGGAAACCGCAGGGCTTCCACGCTGGAGGCGCCTGCACAGTGGAGATGGCTGATGGCTCCCCTTTGCATTGGGGGGAGGGTAGCATGCTGCAGACACGCATCTTGATCAGTGGGCGGGAGCAGCCTAGGAGTTTCAAGGCAGGGCATGGTGACAGGGGTCAAGGGCATGGTTGCAACTTCATGGGAGACATGAGTTGTGCAAGGGGGATATTAATGTACAAGGACACTTCAAAAAGTTCAAGAAAAAAAGGAATTAACAGATTTGTTCATTTTAGTGCAAAAAATGTTGAGATCTATGCATAGAAGAGGTCTTCAAAACTCTCATGGAAAATGCATATTATGGGCCCACCACTGTGGCAGTAGGAGGTAAAGCCTCCTCCTGTGATGCCGGTTCGAGTCCCTGCTGCTTCACTTCCAATCCAGCTCCCTGCTAATGGCCTGGGAGGAGCAGCAGAAGATGACCCAAGTGCCTGGGCCCTTGCCACCCACATGGGAGACCTGGATGGAATTCCAGGTTCCTTCGTTCAGCCTGGCCCAGCCCCAGCCACTGTGGCCATTCGGGGAATGAACCAGTGGATGGAAGATCTCTCTCTCTGACTTTAAAGTAAATGTGTATTATGAGAAAAACTATGCAATGGATATCAACTTTTTTGCACCAAAATATCTTCTTTTTAAAAACTCATTTTATTTATTTGAAAGGCAGACTTAGAGAGGGAAAGGGAGATCTTCTACCTGCTGCTTCACTCCCCAGATGGCTGCAATGTCTTGGGCTGGACCAGGCTGAAGCCTGGATCCTGGAACTTCATCCAGGTTTCCCACATGGGTGTTAGGGCTCATGTACTTGGGCCATCTTCTGCTGCTTTCCCAAGCACATTAGCAGGGAGCTGGATTGGAAGTGGAGCAGCTGGAACTCCAGCTGGCACTCATGGGATGCCAACCTGCTGAGCCACAACAGCAGCTTAAAACAATGAACATTATCTCACAGTTCCTTTAGCTCAGGAGTCCTGCAGTGGCTTAGCTGGGTGGCTGGGCCGTGAGTTGGCTCCACCAGGGCCCGAGGATCCACTTCTAAGACGCCACACTCACATGGCTGTTGGCGGAGGCCTCAGCTCCTCACACTTGGAGCACTCTGCAGGGCTGCCTGAGCATCCTCATGGCTGGTTCCTCCGAGCACGGGATTGGAGACAAACCAAGGAGGAAGCCACGGTGCCTTTTGTGACCTAATTTTGAAGGTCACCTAGTGTTGGTTTTCCCCGTGCTCTGTTAATTAAAAGCAATCTGGCAAGTCCAGCCCTCTCTCTCTTGAAGGAAGAGTGACAAGGGATTTGTGGACGTGTCACCAAAGCTCCCCCTAGGTTTCATGTAAGACCCTTAGAGATGGTAGAACCTTCTAGAAAGGGATGAGGGGCTCTCCCCTCCTCTTCCTCTGCTCCTGTTGCTCACCAGCGTTTGCTGGGTGTGGTCTGACAAGCAGTAAAGGAGCTTAAGTGCCCAGCACAAAGGAGACTCTGCCTGCAGCATATGGTTGGCCCCAGAAAATTGAGAGTTGAATGCCTTTTTCTCCCCACGTGCTTTCTGAGGGGTAGCGGGAGGGACTGAGGGAAAATCTGGGGTGGAGAAGCTAAAACCCAGAGAAGAAAACGAGCCCTGGGACCAGCAGGCTGCTCCCTTTCACCTCCTCTTGGAGCCTACAAAGGGGTGGAGGCGTTGCCATCATGCTCGCCCCGCCTCCCTCCCGTGCTGAGGGGAAGATGGAGTGTGCAGTAGGTGTGAAATGTGAGGTGTGATCCCCGTGTGGGACAAGATGTTTGTCCATCTGGCCTTGTTGGAATTTGGCACTCTCTGCTCCCCAGTCCACCCTCCCTCAGGCTTGTGTGGGGCTTTTTCCTCCGCGGCCCGCATTCACTTCTCGACCCGGAGCCGCCCTCCTGTCAGCCGTGGTTGCTGGCATCACAAATGGCCATCCCTGGGTCATGAGTCAGGCAGGGAGAGTGACAACGGGGAGGAGGCCGTGGGCCATTCCCCAGACCCCAGGCCTCTCCATTCCTGGCTTTCTCTCTTCTCCACCTTTAAAAGAGAAACAAATAAAGCCAGGGTTCTCTGTGCTGTCGTGCCTGAAGCCAGCTGCCAATTCAGACACCTGGCATGCATACCTCAGCCATTCTGGAGGTGGGTGTCTGTCTCCCTTTTACAGACAAGGACAGAAGTTCACATTGGTTCAGGCTGTGGGTAAGACAGCAGGGGCTAGTGGGGCTTTTGGACAACTAGAGAAGCTGGACTTGAGAAATTCCCTGGTTTGACCACAAAGCAGCCAAGTAGAAGCCCCTGTCTGGTCCCTCCAACAGGGATGCCGAGTCCCTGGGAGGAGGAGATTGGTCCAGTGCCACACGGCCGACGACAGTGATTTTCAGTTTGTTTCTGGGTACTGCGTTTACACCAAACGATTGGATATGGTCCCTGCCATCAAGGAGCTGAGGCGTTTGTGACTAAAAGTGCTCTCACGTGGACAGCCTGGTCCAGCTCTCAGGGTGGTCCGCTCCAAGCTCAGTTAACCCCACAACCAGACAAAGTGCCTGCCCAAGGACCCCTGCCTGAGTTAATGTGTCTTTAAAATAAGCAAGACATGCATGTGCTAAGAAATCCCAGCAGTTCCAAAGAGTTTATGGCCTGCCACCAGCAAGGTACTAATGGCTGTTCTCTGCCCGAAGTGACGCCAGGGAGCAACACCTGGCCAGGCCCTTGACCACTGTGAAACGGCTTCAGTGTCCTTGTCCCTAAAGTGAGGACGACGGGTTGTTTTCAGGGAGAAACAGCTCTTATCATTTACCAATTAGAAGCTCTGGTTCTCTGCTGTTGGGCAGCGCTGTGCAGCTTGCCTGCCTCTGCAGAGGCTCGGTGACCGTCTCCTGCCCCCTTGTGGTTTAGGGGCAGGGTGTGACAGGGTGGGAGCAGAGGGTGGGGCTTCTGATTTGAGCTGGATGGCCTCCTTCAGCCGGAAGTCGGTCTTTCAGGTTTGCCTGCAACCCTAGCTCTGCACTGGAGTTCCCTCAGGTAGACCCCGGGGGAGAAGGGCTGAGAGACTCCGGAGACAGGCTGCTGGGGTGAGCACCGCCACTTAGCAAGCTGGCGACCAGGGCCAGGAGCCCAGCCTCTGAGCCTCAACGTCTGAGGCTTCCTCGTCTCAACGTTGGGAACAGCCCGGGACTCACAAGCTTGTGAAATTTAGATTAAATTACCTAAGTAGCATGGTTTCTGGCTACTGGGTATTCAGCTCAGTGGATTCCCACAGTGATTCTGGGGTGTGGGGGTGCACAGCTAGCCGCCAGGCAGGCAGGGGCAGGGGCAGGAGCACTAACAGCGCCTTAGAAGGCAGAGTGCAACTTGCAAGTCGCCTCCCCCAACGTTACGAGGGAGGAGATGGCTCAGAGAGAGCATGCAAGTTGCCCGGGATCACACAGCCGGTGGGGTCTGGGGTCCCAGCGCGTCCCCGCAACCCCTGAGCTGCCACTCCCTCAATCCCCCGCTCTGGTCCTTGCTGTAGCGGAGCTGCACACTGAAGAAAGGTGGCTGCGCTGGGCCAGCACCCAGCAGCCAGCGGCATCCACGCTCCGGGAAAACGCGGGCGCGAGGGTCCACTAGCCGTCGCCGGTGGAGCGGGCGTGGGGGCGCTGGCCTGGTGCCCCCACGCGGCCGGGACGAGGGGGCGGCCGCGGCGTCCCCTGGCGCTGGCCCGGCGCTTCCCTGTCGCCGCCGCGGCCTCCCTCCGCCTCCCTGGCGGCCGCCGCGCCGCGCCGGTGTTCAGTTTCAGCTCGGGGATGAGCGCAGGCTGCGTCCGGCTCCCCGAGGACGGAAGGCAGCGAGCGGGGGCCCCAGCGTCCTCGGCAGGGGCCTGGCAGCGCCGTGGAGGGGGCCCGGCTCGTGTCGCCGCCAGGACCGGGCGCGCGTCGAGCCTCCGCCGCCGAAGGGGACGCCCGGGAGCCGCGCCGCTGCCGCCGCCGCCGAGGGTAACCGCGGGCCGCTGGGCGGGCCGGGCGGGCGTCCCCGCGCTGCGTCCCGCTCCTTTGTGGCGCGCGGGGCGGGGTGTGGGTGGCCTCCCGCTCGCAGGCGGCACGGTCGGCGTCTCGGAGCAGCTCTTTGTGTCTCCCGGGGCCGGGTGCAAGAGTGGAGCGCGCGCGCGCCTCCAGCCCGCCACCGGTGCCAGCCTGCAGCCCCCCTCCAGCTAGCCTTCTTCCCGAGGGGACGCCGCCTGGCGCCCCCCCCCCCCCCGGGAGGGGGAGAGTTTCGCCAAGTTGGAGGGAAAAGGGCGGGGTGCGGCCACTCCGCCTTCTCAGACCCCCAGGCAGCGCCCCAAAGTTGGTGCTGCAGGTGCAGCGCCCCCCCCCCCCCTTACGGCTCTCCCAGCCAGCCAGGGCCGGTGCAGGGCGGGAACCCCCCAAGGGCTTAGCTCCGGGGCTCCTAATATTCAGCGGCCAACTTGGAGGGTGCCCTCCTACACAGAAGCCACCTGCGCTGTGGGGGTGTCAGGGGTGCGGCTTCCCCAGGCGGGAAGCCTGCGAGGCCGAGACGGAAGCCCGGCTGTCGGCCGGCAGCAGGGAGAGAGCTTAGCTGCCGTGGCACCGAGCCGGGGTGCCCATGTGACTGCGGTGTGCTTGGGAAGAGGAAGCTGTAGAGGTCAGTGCAAAGGCGTCACGCCAGAGCGAGCAGGGAGGGGGGACCCGGAGTCAGCGCCTGGACGGAGCCAGGGGTGGCCTGCTGGCTGCTTGGACCGGGACAAAGCAGCCCTGTCACAGCCACCCGGGCGGCCCCGATACTCAGCTGTGTCCGGGTGGGAGGGGCGGGGAGGAGGGGCAGCCTAGGCCCCGCACCAGGGACGCTGGGAGGAGGGGGCCTTCTTCAGGAGAGGGGATCTGGAAGTGGTCCCCTGACCTGCGTGGGAGGGGCCTCCGTGCACGCTGCAGGGTGATCCTCGGGGCAGATCAGACAGGAGCTCAACTCGGAGAACTTTCCTTGCTTAGAGCAGCAGCAGTTCCCAAGGATTCCCATTCTACACGTGCTGGGGAACCTGGGCTGGGGGCTGCTGGGGGGAGGCTGGGCTGGGCGGCCTGGCAGCCCTGGGCCTGGAGCCCCACAGCCACGTTCCTCTTTGGTCCTCTCTGCTGTGGGGACAGAGTGGGCATCTGGCTGCAGCCAGAGCTAGGCTGGTCCTCCTGGCTCCACCCCACACGCACTTAAATTGTTTTCCCTCGACTGTGTTCAGCTCGGGCCTGGAGGGGGGTGGAAACCAAGGTTAGATTTTTAAAAGAGAGAGAAAAGCCACAACGAAGAGGTGGTTTTTAGGAAAACCAGGACTAATATTTTGAAGTGGTATTTAACAAGAAGAGGCCGATGTGGTTCATGGGGGTGGGGTAGGTTCAGGCCCCCCCCACCTTTCCAGTTCCTGGGAGAGAAGAGGGTCACCCAGGCCTTCAGGCTGGGGCCCTGATGGGGCTGGGCTGCTGTGGGCTGGCGGGCAGGGAGGGCGTGGAGCTCCGAGTCGGGACTTCAGCAACCCTGGTGCCAGCTTCGTGACAGCCTGCGTCCTGTGCTGTCAACTACACCCCTCCGAAGGGGTTGCTAGGCAGCGGGGCTCTGATGTACGGGGAGGCCTTCTGATTTGTCAGCCTCCTGCAGACACATGGTTAAGGCTCCTTCCAGCCTATCGGGAGGAGGGACGCGGGGCACGCCGCCTGCATACTGCCGAGCCCCGGGTCCACCTGAACGCGAGGTGCAAAAGGCAGGCAGAGGGAGGGGGGCCCTAGAGCCCTCCCGCCTTCCAGCCAGCTCAGCCCCACGTCCCCATTATTTCCACTCGGGGTTGCTGCTGGCTCCTCCCTGCCCGTCCCCGCCCCGTTCCTCCCCTCTCCCCCAAACCTCGGAAAAGCAAAGTGCAGCAGGGAAAAGAGGTCAGTGGGGTAAGCATGTGTGTGCGGGGCCCCGGAGGCGCCAAGGTGCATGGGTATGAGCGGTGGGGAGGCTGCCCTGGCCGCGCCACCCGGGGCTCTTGTGGGAAGGGGTAACTGGCAGGGAGGGGGGCCCTGGCACCTTGTTTGCCAGGCCTGGGTTTGGAAGCCTGCTCCGTGCCCCCTCCTCCTCCAGCTCTGCCCACCCTGAAGAAGGCAGTACATGGGACAGGAGGGGGACCGGCAGGTTCCTGCAAGGAAGGGTGTTCTGTGCAGCGCCTACTGGCGCTCAGAGGGAGGGGAGCCGCTGGCAGGTTCCTTCTCTCCCTGGATGCTCGCCCTCTGTCCCAGCCCCTAAGGCTCAGGCTCTCTCTCCGCTTGCCCCTACAGTTCCAGGGTCTTCTCTTAATCCTTTGACCTTTTTAAAAATTTTCAACAGCTTTATGGAGATGTAAATTCACTTACCATTCACTCACTAAAAGTGTGCAATTCAGGGGTTTTTTAGAAGTCTCAAAATGATAGTCTATTTTAGAATTAAGCCCTGTACCATTAGCAGTCCCTCGCCACACCCCCACAGCACACTCCTGGCCACCACCCCTGTGCTCTCCAGACGTGGAACATACACCGTGTGGTCTTTTGTGGCTGGCATCCTGTCCTTTCTAGCCGTATTGCTGCTCATCTCGCCATGTAGCTTCTGTGCACTGTTGCCCTGTTAGAGTGGCACATCCTTAAGGACAGGGGTCTTACGCTGTCTTCTGCATTTCTCTCAATGCCATGCATGCCTCAGGGCTGGACCACACTGGTTGAATGACTGAGAACTGGTGATTGGCAAGCCGTGCAGGTGGATTCCAACTGAATTCCAGGATGCCCAGCTGCTACAAAGGGGTCTGGCAGCTTGGGAGAACTGCAGGTGTCAGAGCTGTGCAGGAACAGAGAGGACGCCCCTTCCTGGGCGGGGGGGGGGGGGGGTAGGGTGGAGCAAGGGCAGAAGCTGCAGCGAGGAGGGAGTGCAGTGGCCATGGGCTGTCAGCTCTTGCAGGAACCTGAAAACAAAATTGCTGCCCCCAGCCTCTGGGGCTTGAGATCGGTCGCCTGATTCCAGGGGCTTCCAGTTAGATTTGGATTTAGAAAAAAAAGACGAAGAAGAGCAATTTGCCAGAGTCGGCGTTTCTGAGAGGGCAGCAGTCGGGCACCTCAAGGGCCCGCTCGCCTCCTGGGATGCAGGCATTGACGTGGGTTTCCCGGTGCTGCAGGTACTGTCTGATGAGCGTCAAAGGTTGCTTCACTGACTTCCACATCGACTTTGGAGGCACTTCCGTCTGGTACCATGTCTTCCGGGGAGGGAAGGTGAGTTCCAGTGTGTCTCTTGGTTTCCCGTGTTCCTCAGGCTGTGAGAGTAGGGAGGGACTCCCTCACCTTTCCCCTTCCTTTGGCCTGGCCCCTCCCAGCCAGCCCTGCCCTGTGGTAGTTTTAGGGCCACTGCATCCCCTGTGGCCACGCCCTGTCTCTGTCTTCCCCTAGTGGGAAAGGTCAAGGTCAGCTCATTTGCATCCCAGGCACACCCAGCTGCCTGTTTGGACCCCAGGCACTTCCACACTCATTCCTCAGCTCCAGCACCGGCCCCTTCTAGCTTCTAAGCCGGCTGCCAGCTCCACAAGCCTCCAGGACCCCAAGAACATTTCGCACCTGGGACAGACATCACCCCAAGAGAATAGGCCGGCTGTGCATGTGGGGCGTGTGCGTTGTGTCTGCCTTTGTCTGCACGTCCGTCTGGGGGCGCAGGAGTCCCTGCACTGGTGGGTGTGCCACCCCGCGTGTCTGGGTCTGCACGTGCATCTGTTTTAACTGAACGCGCTGGAAGAAATTCTGGGAGGAAGTCAGCCCACTGGATTCCAGATGTTTTTCCTCCTCTTCCAAAGTGAGCACAAGCTGGGTTTATTTATTGGGTCATTTTATCATACAGCTTCGGAAATTCCCCTGCTCTCCTTCCCCCCAGCTCGCAGACAAGCCTGTGGCTCGGGAGCAGGAATGTTCCACCAAGTGCAGGAAGTATCCCCAGCCCAGCACCTCGGCCAGAATGGAGAGTCCCTACAGGCACAGCCTGGCCACCTCCTCAGAGAGCCTCTGGGACTGGCCTCGGAGGGGGTCCAAGGGTGGCGCCTCCCCCCTCATGTACCACCGCCACACTGGCAGGTGGGGCTGTCTCTTTGGCCTTGGCCTCAGCCTCTTCTGCAGCTGACTGCTTCCTTTCCCTCCCCAGATCTTCTGGCTGATCCCGCCGACCCTGCACAACTTGGCCCTGTACGAGGAGTGGGTGCTGTCGGGAAAGCAGAGCGACATCTTTCTGGGGGACCGCGTGGAGCGATGCCAAAGAATTGAGCTGAAACAGGGATACACGTTTTTCATTCCCTCTGGTAGGTCCGGCTGGGGCTGGTGCGGGGCTCAGCCGGGGTTTTAGGCCAAGTAGGGTTTCTCTGGGCCTGGGGCGTTTGTCCGGCTGTTTGTTGCTAGTGCCTCTGGGGCTGTGCCTGTGGGCTAGGACACCCGCTCAGAGAAATCCTCGGCCTCCCCCAGGGGAGTTGGCAAGCTTCCCCACCAGTTCCTCTGCAGATTCCGGGGAAGCCCAGTGCCCGGCCATAGCTGGAATTCCTGCTGTGCTACTTGTAAGCCATGGCTTCACCTCTTTGTGCCTCAGTGTTCCTATCTGTAAAATGGGAGCAAGACTTCCCAAGGTGGCTGTGAGGACTGCGCAAGCTCAGACCCCTTGGCCCGTGGATCTTTGGAGATGGACAAAGATGCATTTTTGGGGGAAGGGGTTTCACAGGCGGCATCACTGGCGGGTGTGGGCTGTGACCCAGGAGTCAGGAAGTCAGTCTTCAGCCACATTACTGGGAGCATGCTAGCCAGGGGGAGTGAGGGTGCAGATGGAGAGGGACAGTCCACGGGGGAGGTTGCGTTCCTCCTGGGCACTGTGCTTTGTGGGGAAGTGAGGGGTCTGCAAACCACATCCGCCGTGAGGAGCTTGGAGGAGGACTGGGTTGCTCTCCCTGAGGAAGGGAAGGCGTGTGGTAACTGCAGCCAGCCAGGTGCAGGGTTATCTCCTGGAAGAAGAGTGACAGCCAGTGTTGGAATGACTTGCTCTGTCAGGTAGTGAGCTCCCCGTCACTGGAGGTATACAAGTGGAAGCTAGGTATGGGTGTGTTAAAGAGCTTGCAGAGAATCTGCCCCTGGGTAGATGCTTGGACCAGAGGATAGAAGTATCCTTTGAGGCCACTAAGAGGGAGCAGCTGGTCACACTTAGGTTTCTGAGAGTTGGTCTTGAGCAGTGGTTGTGGTAGTTCTTTTTTTAAAAAAAAAAAATTTCTTTATTTTGAAAGAGTGGGGGCTGGTGCTGTGGCACAGCAGGTTAACGCCCTGGCCTGGGGCATTGGTGTCCCATATGGGCACCAGTTCGAGACTGGCTGCTCCACTTCCCATTCAGCTCTCTACTATGGCCTGGGAAAGCAGTAGAAGATGGCACAAGTCCTTGGGCCCCTGCACCCATGCGGGAGACCTGGAGAAAGCTCCTGGCTCCTGGCTTCAGATCAGTGGGGCTCCGGCCGTTGCGGCCAATTGGGTAGTGAACCATCGGATGGAAGACCTCTCTCTCTCTCTCTCTCTCTCTCTCTCTCTCTCTGCCTCTTCTCTGTGTAACTCTGACTTTCAAACAAATAAATCTTTAAAAAAAAGAAAGAGTGACAGAGGGGGGGAGAGACAGAGAGAGGGATCGTCCACGAGCTGGTTCGCTCACCACGTGGCTGCAGTGGCCAGGGCTGGGCCAGGCAGAAGCCAGCAGTTTCCTCAGATCTCTCACATGGGTGGCAGGGACCCAAACACGTGGGCCATCCTCCACTGCTTTTCCCAGGCCATTAGCAGGGAGCTGGATCAGAAGTGGAGCCGCCGGGACACGAGCCGGCGCCCATGTGGGATGCTGGCACTGCAGGCGGCGGCTTCACCCGCTACACCACGATGCTGGCCCTGGTAGAAGTTCTTGTGTGGGGTGGGGCTGGCACACCAGGGCTTTTGACTCTGAGCTGAAGGTGGAGATTTCTCTGTTAGGGGCACTGGGGATTTGGAGGCTGAAGGGTTCAGCGGGGGTGACTTTGTCACCATGGTGTCAGGACTATCCCTAGGCCTGCTTGGCTCAGGGAAGGGACGTGCCCCTGCGTAGGACAGGGGGATAGCCCTGGAGGGGCCCTGGTGGTGGACACCCTGGCAGACATGGCGTCCATCTGACAGGTCCTCAAGCTGATGTGCAGTGTGGGGTGGTGGATTTAAAGGAATACTGGCATGCTCTTGGCCTTGCTGCGTCTCTGTCTCTTCCTCTCGCTGGACCTCAGCTATCCCAGCTGTATAGTGGGGGCAGGACGGGACTGAGCTCGGGGACCTTCGGGGTCTGGTCTTGCGTCCCTCTCTCAGGCCTTCCAGCAGGACCTGGAGGGCTGGCTGATTGCTTCCCCCCAGTCGGGGATGGGAAGGGTGTTGGTTGTGGCCACTCAGGTGAGGCTGGGGAGGGTCCCACAAAGGGTGCAAGCTGCAGCCTGTTGAGGGCAGGAAGAGGAGACGTGGACTTGAACTGCAGCAAGCAGGAGTCCATTCAGAGCTCCCCAAAGACTTCTGGTCCTCAGGGTTGTGAGCGAGGTTTCAGAATTTTTTTTTAAATTAAAATTTTTCTTTTCAGGAACTAGAAAAGGGCCAACTGGAATTTATCTTCTTCCAAACAGCTGGGGGAAGGGGCATGGGGAGACAGCATAGCTCAGAGGTTCCCCAGGTATCGATTTTTTGAACAACGACATAAAGACAAATGGAGAACTGATTCAGAGCCATCAACTTTTAATTTTGCTGAAGATGGACGTTAACTAAAGATCAAAAACCCAGTAGCTGTTACTGATGCTTCTCGAAGGAAAGGTTGCTGTTTTGAAAAATGTTTTATTTATTTATTTTCATTCATTTAAAGGGCAGAGAGAGACAGATAGGCAGAGATCTTCCATCCAATGGTTCATTTCCCAGATGCACGCAACAACCAGGGCTGTGCCAGGCTGAGGCCAGGAGCCCAGTACTCAGTCTCTCATGTGGACAGCAGGACCCAAGTACTTGAACCATCCCCTGCTGCCTTCCACGGTGCACACTGGCAGGAAACTAGAATCAGAAGTAGGACTGTTCTTGGCCCCAGGTGCTCCCACAGGGGATGTGAGTGTGCTAAGCAGCATCAAACGCCTACCCCAAGAAAGACCGACTATTCCTTCTTTCTTTTTTTAATAAAGATTGATTTATTTATTTGAAATAGAGAGTTATAGAGAAAGGGAGAAATAGAGAGAGAGATCTTGCATCCACTGGTTCACTCCCCAAATGGCAGCAATGGCTGTGGGTAGGCCAGACCGAAGCCAGGAGCCAGGAGCTGCTTCTGGGTCTCCATTGTAAGTGCAGGGGTCCAAGCACTTGGGCCATCCTCTGCTGTTTTCCTAGGTGCATTCGCAGGGAGCTGGGTCAGAAGTGGAGCAGCTGGGAGTTGAACTGGCACCGGTATGGGATGCTGGCACTGCAGGCGGCAGCTTAGCCTGCTGTGCCATAGCACTGGGCCACGACTGACAATTCTGGTTGGAGGTAGTTGTACTTGGGACCCACAGGGGATTAGTTCCAGGACATACCACACTGGGATTTCACAGTCCATCCCTAGGTTAGTTAGAATACCTAGTATGATGTCAGTGCTGTGTAAATAGTTTTATTGTTTAGGGAATAATGACAAAGAAGAAATTTACATGTGTTCAGTGCTGACACAATTAAATTATTTATTTATTTCCAATTTCTTTGAAAGGGAGAGAGAGAGTGAGCAAGCGAGCTCCCATTTGTTGGTTCACTCCCCAAATGCCTAGCACAAGCAGGGCTGGGCTAGGCCAAAGTCAGGAGCCCAGAACTCCATTGCGGTGTCTCATGTGGGTGGCAAGGACCCAAACACTTGAGCCACCTCTGCCACCTCCCAGGGTGTATGTGCCTTTAGGAAACTAGATCAGACCAGTAGTAAGGACACAAACCAGACACTCCTATACAGGATGCAAGCATCCCAAGAAGTGACCTTAGCACTTTGCCAAATTCTCACCCCTGACACAATCCCCCACCCTGCACCCCTGTCTGATGTTTTTAATCCTTGGTTGACTGAACCTATAGATGTGGACCCCCTGGATATGATGATGAGGGCCACCTGCACTCAATTCCAGTTTAAGGGACCGTCTTTTAAATTTCGGTGTTGAGTTTATGAAAATCTATACTATTTTTTTCTTGTTCTGTGGCCACAGTGAAAACTGAAGGATGGGGTTTTGAGTCTATGATCAAGATGAAAATTTTGGGTCCTCCTGGGGGCCTGGGATTGTCTCTGAGCCGGGATGGACCTGCTGCTGAGATAGGCGGTGGCCAGTTTGTGGCTTTGGGTGGAGAGTAAAGCCCTGTGGAGTCCAGGGCCGGCTTGCGGCTCCCTGGTCCTGAAGCTGAGAATCTAATTCTGGCCTTTCCCGCCCTGCACCCTGGCCTTCATCCCCACGGGTGACCCTAGGCCCTCGTGCTGGCCACAAGTCCTCCCATCTCCTGCTCAGCAGGTCTTCAGCTCTCTGAAAGCTCACAGGTGTTGCTGGGATAGGAGTTTGAATTGGCACAGTTGTTTGGGGCAAAGCAACTCAGCCTTTCCCACTGCTGTCTGCAGGTGAAGGGGCTGGGTTCTGGCAGTGCTTCGGGGGTGGTGGTTCTTCTGCCTGATTCCAGGGCAGCCCAGGAAAGCTGCCTGGAAGAGGGAGACTACTGGAGGGGACAGAGGAGTAAGATAGCTTGGAGAAAGGGGCTTGGGTCTGTGCTGCTGGGCCTGATGTGAGGGAGAGGAAGTGAGAGTGCAGTTAGGGTTAGGAGCAGGGAGGCCAGAGCCAGTTCTGTGAAGTGACCACGTTTCAGTCCAGTGGCGCTGGAGTCAGGACAGCTGGAGCTGGAAGTCATTCCCAAAGAACAAAAAGGCAGAGACTGCAAGCACCCTGATGAGCCAGGTGGCATCTTTGACCCACGGCCAGCATCCTGACCATGTTCAGGAGGTTGGCCTTCTCTGGCTGTGCCAGCCGAGATGAGGTTTAGTTAAGAATTCATGTAGGCCGGCGCCGCAGCTTGATAGGCTAATCCTCCACCTAGCGGCGCCGGCACACCGGGTTCTAGTCCCGGTTGGGGCGCCGGATTCTGTCCCGGTTGCCCCTCTTCCAGGCCAGCTCTCTGCTGTGGCCAGGGAGTACAGTGGAGGATGGCCCAAGTCCTTGGGCCCTGCACCCTATGGGAGACCAGGAAAAGCACCTGGCTCCTGCCTTCGGATCAGTGCGGTGTGCCAGCCGCAGCGCGCTGGCCGCGGCGGCCATTGGAGGGTGAACCAATGGCAAAAGGAAGACCTTTCTCTCTGTCTCTCTCTCTCACTGTCTAATTCTGCCTGTCAAAAAGAAAAAAAAAAAAAAAAAAAGAATAATTCATGTAAGGAAAAATGTAGTGTCCTGTCACCTTTTTTTTAAATTTTTTAATAAAGAGGCTACCTGAGACCCAAGGTCCCACAGTTAATTAGTGATGGGGCGGGGCCCAGGCCCAGGCCCAGGCCCAGGCCCAGGCCCAGGCCCAGGTGTGCCTGGTTCCCCAGGACCCCAGGAGTCGGGAGACTGGAACCTGGTCCCTGTTCTTGGCCGTGTGACTCTGGGACGTTAATACTCATTTAGCAAGCTCTCTTAAAGGCCCACTTGGTGCCGGGCAGCCTGGGAGGGAGGGGCACACAGCACACTGTCTCCTCCTGAGTGCCAGTCCAGCCAGCTCGCACCAGTGAGATGGGGCCCAGCATGGGTACCTTATTCAGCACTTCTGGGGGTGCCTGGGAAGGGCCCTGAGGTCAGTGACTTGGGCAGGCCTGAATGTGCTTCTCAAGGAGTGAAAACCAGCCAAAACTTAGACTTCCTGGTGGGCCCATCTGTGAAATGGGTATAGAGCAGGACAGGGGCAGCAGTGTGTGGCCGAGGGTGATAGGGCTGTGGGAAATAGTTGCTGCTCCGTTCCAGCCAGTTAGGGCCTGGTGGGAATGGAGCCAAGGACACCAGACTTCCCGTTTCCCTAGGGAAGGAAACATTTCTGGTAGTTCCAATTGTCATCTGCAATTTCCCCATTTTTGTAATATGGATCAAACTAAGCAGTCTCCTGGGCCCGTTGCAGCCCAGGTTTGTCAGTTTTGGCCCCTGGTGCCAGCTATGAGGTCATTGGGAGGAGAGGCCACGGGACCCAGCGCCAAGCCTGGCCCAGCACAGGGTGTGCATCAGTGCTGGTGAGGGAAGCCAGGGTCCAGGGGTCAGGGGCATCTGACCTGAGCTCTGTGACCTTGAAGGTGTCCCTGCAGCAGCCATAAAAGCTGAGGCAGATGTGGGGAGGCGGCATTTGGATTCCAGGCCCTGGCATCTGGGCTGCGACGGGACTCCGCATGCCCCACCGAGGTCCCAGAGAACACCCCATCAGGAGGTTTTGTGGGTCACACCGCTTTCCGTCCGTGTCTGCATCTGTCCCTCGTCGCCTGGCCTGAATAGCCTCTGTTTATTGCCTTCTCTTGTCGATGAGTCTGGCCTGGAAGCGGGAGGCTGCAGGTGCCAGCCTCCCCAGCCCAGCACCAGCCGGGGACTCCTGCTCCTGCGCTTCCTGGAACGAGACAGCGTCTGGAGGCCGGGTACGGTCAGGGCCTAGGAACGCTGTGATTTCCCCTGCCCGGTTCTTCTTGGTGGAGCCGAAGCAAGCAGGGCTCAGGGGGCAGTCAGAGCGACACTAATGCAGGGGCAGCTGCCCACGCACCTGGGAGGCCCTGGCTTGGCAAGGAGGCGAGTGGATGCATTGAGACCCCTGGAGTGGCAGGGCGCAGATTCCCAGCCTCCCACCCCCCACCGTTTGCCACAGCAGCTCTCCTCCGTTTTCCTCTGTGCTGCCACATCAGGGCGACAGATGGAAGTCCCGTGTGTCTGCGTGTCCACCTGTCAGGAGAGGAGCGGCTGGTATGTGTGGATCTGCGTGAGCGCCATCCTTTTCCAGAGCCCCTGTGATCGATGAGGCCACCTCAGATATCAATGGCGATTGCCTCTATCGACCGAGTCCTTGCTCACCAGGTTCCCACGGGGGAGGGAGCGGACGCTTTGCTTTCATCGGGTACTAGTGTTGCGTGTCACATGGTGATCAGTGCTGGGGGTGGTCTCTGTCCTGGGCCTCTGGACGTGGGGTCTCTGTAGGGAGACAAATGGATACTGGAAGAGGGAGACCCCTCAGGCACCTTCCGCAGGCATCTTCTGGCTAGCAGGTCCTGGGTCCCAGCCGCAGGCTGATGGTGGTAACCACAGCAAAGATTAGTCAGCATAGCGTGCTTCTGCTTCATGGAAACAGAAACCTGAGAGGACCAGCTTGGGGGCAGCAGAGAGAAGGAACTAACTACAGCATGTATGGAAGTCGACACCCTTTAAAGGTGCAGCCCACACCTGCACAGAGGGGTGAAGGTGGCCCACAGTGGCACCCCCCCAGCCCACACAGCAGCTGCCTCTGCTGGTGCAAGCCAGAGTCCTGGGGAGGGGACGCAGGATGAGGGTCCCTGCAGCAAAGTCTCTGTTCCTGCGCTCCGTGGCATTGTTGGTGACCGTCTCTCCTTTGTTCTCCCCCGAGGACCAGCAGCTCCATCCTGTGCTCCCAGGGAGAGTAAACAGCTGCCAGTTGGGCACAGGGGCCAGCAGTGGTGGCCTCCTGTGACTTGGAGCTGGGGTGTCTCAGCGCTGGGAGGGGCAGGGAGGATTGTGGGGCGAGGGGGGGTGGGTCTCTGGAATGTTCCAGTGTGCAATAGAATTAGGCGCTCAGGCCGGAGCACCTGCCACTTCCTGCCTGTTCCTGGGCGACCCCCTGCCTTCTGCAGCGTCTGCCTCTGTCCTGTCTTGGCCTGGTGCCATCTTTCTCTTTCAGTCTCCCCTGTATGTTTCCAGTCCTGTCCCCCAGGCTTGACTGGGCCTTGCTAAGCTTTAGATGCAGTGCAGGGCAGCGGCTTCCCTTGCCAGCTGTGACTTCATTCTGAAAGCCGCTCTTCTCTCCCGAGCTGCCGTCTCAGCCTCTGTAGATCAGAATTGACGATAAAACTACCTGTCCGCTGGCTCTGTGCGGTCCACGTTCGTACCAGGGTCGCTGGAGCACTTGCAGTGTGGCCTCTCTGCAATGAGATGTGGTCCAGGTTGAGTTTCCCTAATCCAAAACCTGAATTCTGAAACCTTTTGAATGTTTGTGGTCAAGATTCGGATTTTGGAGCTTTCTGGGTTTTCGGGGTGGGGGGGATGCTCAACTGGCAGTCTATGCTATATTTAAAACAAAGCAAAAAAACCCAAATTCTGAAATCTGGCCCCAAGAGTTTTGGAAAAGGGATTCTCTGCTTGCATGAGTCAGGTGCCTTCCTTTGTCCTCAGCCTTCCGTGGCTGCGCGGAAGCTGACTTCCCCGGGCTGAGTTCTGATTCGGTCACTTCACTTCTCTCTTGCTCAGTTTGCTCGTCTGTGAGTTGGGATTGCCAACAGGACATTAATAACAAGCTCAGGCCTGAGAGCCCTTAGAGCAGGCCTGTCACAGGTGGGCACACCGTGACTCGGCAGCAGCAAAGCCAGGGCCTGCAGGAGGGAGGGCTGCGGGCATCCGGCCAAAGCAGAGCCCAGGTGGGGTGCAGGCGGCACAAGGAAGCCACCTGGAAATAGGCTTGGGAGGACTTGGATGACAAAGTGGACCCCAGGCAGAGGAGAGCATCTGGGTGCTATGGTTTGGGGAGAGATCCCTCCGTGGTCGTGCTCTGAGCCAGCTGCTGTGACTCCTCCTGAGACTGCTGCTTGCCTGTGCAGCCTGGGAGGGCGTGACCAGCTCCCTGGGCAGCATGGACATGGGGAACGGGCTGCCTGCCTTTCTGTCCACTGCAGCCGGTCTTGAGGGAAAGACCTGTCCTGACGTTCTCAAGATGCTGGGCTGGTCTGCAGTTCCCCCCACCTGCTTGAGTTAGCCGCCAGGGCCTTGGTGCTCACCTCGCCTGCCCCGACGACTGCATGCTGGCGCTCCCTCCCGCAGCCTCCCACGGCTCACCCTCTCTCCACCCTCCCCGGCCCAGGTTGGATCCATGCCGTCTACACCCCCGTAGACTCCCTGGTGTTCGGCGGAAACATCCTGCACAGCTTCAACGTGCCGATGCAGCTGCGGATCTACGAGATTGAGGACAGGACCCGGGTAAGGGGGCGCACGGCGTGTGGCGTGGGCCACACCGAAGTCCTCCACAGTGCCCCTCTCCCTCCTGCCCCTCCGCCTCGAGCCAGCCTCCAGCCAGCCATCCTGGTCATGCAGGGTAGAGAGGTGGCCGCAAGTGGAGTTTCTGTCCACCTCCCAGCCGGTGACAGCCAAAAACCCCCTCGGCAAAGAGGAAGTGTTTCTGGATAAGCATCGTGAGCTCTCAGGAGCCCTTCGCTTCCCTCCTTCCGTGCAGAAGTGGCTGCTGGGGACGGGGGAGTTTCCTTGCCTTGTTGTCAGAGAGAGGGCCGAGGTCAGGTCTTGGCCATGTATCCTCGTGGGGACCCCAGATCTGCTGGAGAGCCCCTGAGGGTTAGTCCCCGCCGGGTCCTGTCTGTGGGCCCAGTGCAGAGTCACTTGGGGGCATCCCCAGCTGCCCGGGGCCAAGGCTTTCCTTTGCTCCTGACAGTCTCAGTTTCTCAGACACTGGGTTTCCCCCACCCTGGGCCAAGGCTGAGGCTCTTAATGCCTGGTGTGTGCCCACCTCTCTGCAGATGTCCCGAGAGGGGCACTGTGGCTCTGAGCTTGCCCTCCCCCTCTCTCAGCACTGAAACAGGGCGGGAAGTTAGAGCCTGGGGCAGAGGGAGCCCCTTCTCCCTTTTGTCTTTGCTCTTTGTTAACATCACTATCCAAAATGTCAGTTTTTCTGTTCACAAACAAAGATATAATTCCCATACCCTAAAACTCACCACTTACAATACATAGTTCAGGGGTTTCTAGTACATTCACGGTTGTGTGACCCTCATCCCTGATTGCAGGACATTTTTTAAGATTTTATAAGCCGGCGCCGCGGCTCACTTGGCTAATCCTCCGCCTGCGGCGCCGGCACCCTGGGTTCTAGTCCCTGTTGGGGTACTGGATTCTGTCCCAGTTGCTTCTCTTCCAGTCCAGCTTTCTGCTGTGGCCCAGGAAGGCAGTGGAGGATGGCCCAAGTGCTTGGGCCCTGCACCTACATGGGAGACCAGGAGGAAGCACCTGGCTCCTGGCTTCGGATCGGCACAGTTCGCTGGCTGTAGTGGCCATTTGGGGGGTGAACCAATGAAAGGAAGACTTTTCTCTGTCTCTCTCTCTCACTTTCTAACTCTACCTGTCAAAAAAATAAAATAAAATAAAATATTTTATTTATTTACTTTGAGAGGTAGTTACAGAGACAGAGAGAAAGGTCTTCCATCTGCTGCTTCACTCCCCAAATGGCTGCAGTGGCCAGAGCTGGACTGATCTCAAGCCAGGAGCCAGAAGCTTCTTCCAGGTCTCCCACATGGGGGCAGGGGCCCAAGAACTTGGGCCATCTTCTACTGCTTTCCTAGGCCATAGCAGAGATCTGGAGTGGAAGTGGAACAACTGGGACTCAAATTGGTGCCCATATGGTATGTCCGTGTGGTCATGTCCAGACCCTGAAGATACACCTCACAGGGGCAGCTGTGCCGGGCCTGGGGTCCCTGTCTCTGCCAGTCTTCTCTTCAGGCCTTGGTTCACATGGAATCCTATACATCAGTCCGTCTTAGCCAGCGCATGTGGCTCTGAGCCTTTTAACACCCCTAGCATGGGAGCCCCTCTGCCAGGGGTTTTCTTGAGGCCACTTGGATCCATCGTCAGCGATCAGGTGAGCCCCTTCCTATGGGCCTGTTTGCTGCCTCTGATGCCTACATCTGTGGAGGCCCACGTCTGGACCTGGCTGTGTGCAAAACCCATGTTTTGTGGCCTTTCTTCCCTTGCCCTCTCGCCGTCCCTGTACAGGTATGGGGAAGGCCAGCCTAGCCCTGGTTTGGGCAGTGCCACCCTGTGACATTCAGGAGAAAGCACTGTTTGGGCACACGACGATCATCCCACAGTCTGGGTCAAGTGCTCTCTGGAGCTCCAGCCAACTGTTCTTTGGCCGGCCCCAAAGGACAGGCCAGTCTGTCTGTGAACAGACTAGCAGGTGTGGGATAGAAACGGAGAAATCTTGGGGAAGGTGTGAGGCCTACGGCTTTCCAGGCAATTCCTGAAAGCCAGATTCAGGCTGGGGTTTCCAAAGGCCCTGGCAACTGTGGGGCAGCCATCGCATCCCCCTTGGGCATTCCAGCCTCCTCATTCTGTGAGGCACCCAGCTCCCCTCCCCATGAGCGTCATGCTGAGCTCTCGTGGGATATCGCACGCCAACTTCCAGATAAGCGTGGCAGGTCCCCTCCCCCAAGGCCAGTGTCCCTGTCGTCTCTGTGGGCTCCCCATCTGGTTTCCCTGAAGCAGGTTGACGGTTGGGGGGCTGGCGGGCAGGCCGGGCTGGAAGCAGCGGCAGACTGTTTAATCTGCTTTGGTTTCTGGTCTTTGGAAGGGGGGCTTGGCTAAGAGGCCCAGTTGTGTATACCCTGGGAGCCAGGGCAGACAAAAGGCGCTGGGGAGAGAGCACTGGGAGCCAGACACATGCCAGGGCTCCTTGTCAGCTCGCTACAGCTTAATTCTTTACATCCCTGCGAGCTTTCTTAAGAAGGTTATGGCCATTTAAAAATAGTTTTTCAAGAGTCTTAAAGCTTGGCTTTGCTTGGAAACCAAACGCAGGGCCTGCAGCGGAGGAAGCTGTAGTCTCCAAGCCCCATGGTGGGGTTTGTCTTGGAAAAAGAACCTCCCTTTGTGGCTCAAGGCGGCGGACCTCCATCCAGTCCAGGGAGCCCCAGGGTTCTCCTAGATTTCTAAAGGAAGCTGTGTCTTGGCTCCCCTATCCCCCCCCCCCCCGCCCCGATGCTCTGTGGCCTTCCTGGCAGAGTCATTGCCCATAGCACACATCTCGGGAATACTGGGTCTCCATTGTCACCCTCCGGGCAGACCCGTCTCCCCTCCTTTCATTCCAAACCTGCCAGGAGAGATGGAAGAATTCCCCCAAAGAGTGAACGCTCAGCATGTTTGTTCCTTTCAAGACAGCGGCTCCACAGTCACCGCATACGTCCGACTCTGCTTAACTCAGTGAGGGACAGGGAGATCCGTTAACCGCGTCTCTCTCACCTTTATCTTTCTCCCCCCCTGCATTGGCTCGGTGAAAGCAGCCCTCCCAGGAGAGGTAACGCCGCCCGCCCTGCCCCTTCACAGCCAGCAGCACCCTCCCCCCCACCCCGCCTCCCCCTACCACCGGATTGTTTTTTTTTTCCCCCATTGATTTTTTTTTCCAGGAGAAAAACAAAATTTAAGATACTTCCACTGCCCTCAATATTTTATGTTTGCAAACGCTTGAGACCTGGGAGTTCCAGACACACTAAGACACCCTGGCTGCCGTCCCCCGAGGCCACCACGACTTGGGCCTCTGAGGAAGCACTGAGGCCGGTGCCACTGGAATGCAGATGGAAGCCCTGAGATAGGCGGTTTCCCTGCAGGCCAGGAGCCTTGCGTGCTTTTTCTGGCCGCTTTGCCTGTCGCTCGGGCCGGCTTCGCTGGTTAACGGCTCAGCTCCTTGGTGAGGCTCCGAATTTGTCAACAAATGATGTTGAGCAATCATGTGTTTAATGTTCCCGGGCATGTGGCTGGAAGCTTTTGGAGGCGAAGGGTGGAAGGCAACAGCCTTTTTGTAAGTCACCTCTTTGCAAGTTTTGTTTCCTGTGGTCCTCTCTTGGAAAAAAAAAAATTTTTTTAAACTGGAATTCCTTCATCAGCATTCGTTGTCACCCAGCTGGTTTCTCTTGCATTCAGCCACAAAGAAGGGAGACCTCCTTTCTCATCCTGAAGCATGGTGCCCCAGCCCGACAGGTCCTCAGGGCCCATGGTGCCTGTCGGTGGCACAGTTGATCGGATGGTGTCCAAACACTTGGAAAATCAAAGCCGACCTCAGGATTTTTGTCCGTCGATGGGAGTCAGGGTCCCATCAGCCTCTGGTTCAGGGATTGACACCTCAGTTTCAAAACTGTTTGTCCCCTGCCCTGGCATGGGGTTGGGCTGGAGACCCCCAAAGCCTTCTTCACAGGAGGTCAGATCTGCTGCTGGCTGGAGAGCCCCTCTGTCTTTCAAACTCCCAGGGGCAGTGACCCAGCACTGAAAACAGAGGCAGCCTCGTGCTACCCCAGCCTCTCAGGAAAGTAGCTGGAGCCAAGGAAGCTGCTAGATGGTGATCCCAACTCCGCTCATCTCCTCCCAGGGCTGAAGAGCATGTGGCCGCCGCGATTTCATTCCAGAGCTTTCCACCCCTGCCCCAGAGGCAGGGAGAGCAAAAGGGACCCATTTCTCAGGTGGGAGAAGAGGGGCCCCAGACAGGGAAAGCAGTGTCGCCATAGCAGAGAGTTGAGTGGGAGTGGACAAGGAGCTGAGAGCTAGGCCTCTTAAGAGGGGCAGAGTGGGAACTGCTCCAGGTGGCCACTCTGAGAAGGGCCGGCAAACAGTAACCTCGGGCCAATAGAGGACTGAGGTCTGCCTGTGTTTGTCCTTGTCCCAGGTGTAGAGTGTGCCTGTTCGTTGTCAGCAGAGACCACAGGGTAGCTGGGGGCGGGAGAATGTGTTTGCTCCACATCCCACTCCCTGAGTGGTTGGACGATGGCAAGACGTGTGCCCTCAGATGGAAGGCACGAGCGGGCAGGTCTGAGCGTGGACACATGGGACCTGCAGAGCATCCGCCACGACCTCACCCCTCCCAGGCCCACTCAGGGTGCAGGTTGTGGAAGGCCCCTCCGTGCCCAGGCCTTCAGCCGTGCCCCTTTCCCTCCTCTTTGGCTGCCATCTCCTCTGTGTGGACCCTGCATGGCCACCCCTCGGAATCCCCCACGGCCCAGGCCGTTTTACAGCTGCGATCCTCAAAGCTGTCTCCACCTCTACTTCCTCCCCTGTGAGAGGCAGCCGAGAGGGGATTTCCACATGGAGCTCAGCTCCAGGCCCGGGTGTGAATCCCCTGTTGTCGGGACAGTTCCAGGCCACACTGGGGACTTGTGTCTGAGGGAACTGGGCATTGCCAGGTGGGGACTGGGGAGTGGCAGGAGGCGGAAACCTGAAGCCCCGCCCCTGCAGGTAGGAGGATGCTCCGTAGCCTGTCAGCAAGTGGTGAGGCCCGTGGGTTGGTTCTGGTTTCCAAGGGGGCACACGAGGGTAGCAGAGTCTGGACAGGAATTTTTAAGAAGGGCGACGAGCCCGTGGTGGGGGTGGGGAGGCTGGACTCGGGCAGTGTGGGCTCCCAGGGGTCAGGGAGGACTCTATTTTCTGCATCTCACAGCATCACGAAGTGGACCTCGGCCTGCAGCCCAGGGACCTTTGGAGGGCCTCTCTGCCTCATCTGTGCATGCTCTGGCATCTGCCCCCAGCGCCTTCCTCCTGCCTTTGTCCAGTGCTCGCCCACCGCCATTTCTCCCTCCTATCATTTGCGCTCCCGCTGAGACGATGACAGTGACCCTCCCCCTCTCCCCCACTTCCCTGCCTCCTCCCCCCACTGTCCCCTGGAACTGACCCCCTCCTGCCTGGCCTCTGCTTTCAGGTGCAGCCTAAGTTCCGTTACCCCTTCTACTATGAGATGTGCTGGTATGTCTTGGAGAGATACGTGTATTGTGTGACCCAGCGCTCCCACCTCACTCAGGAGTACCAGAGGGAATCCATGCTCATTGGTGAGTGAACCCTGTGGGGCCCGGCTGGAGCAGAAACCGTTTCTGCAGGCCAAGAGCCCTTGGGTTTGAGGGGGGGGGTTTCTTTTTTTTTTTTTTTCTTTATTTGAAAGGCAGAAATACATAGACTGAGTCTGAGATCTCCCGTATGCTGGTTCAAATGCTCACGATGGCGGGAAGTGGCCCAGGCTACAGCCAGGAACCTGGAACTCCGTCTGGGCCTCCTATATGGGTGCAGGGACCTATCACTGCTGCCTCCCAGGATGCGCATTAGCAGGGAGCTGGAAACTGGAAGCAAGGTGCCTCAGACTCGAGCACTCTGACGTGGGGTGTGGGGTCCCTGTGGTGTCCTAACTAACCGCTGTGCCAAACGCCAATCCCCAGCGGAACTCTGGAGTCATTTTTGGGCAGAAATCCTGGAGAGCCTTCATGGAAGCCATTCTTGTCAACTTCCCACTTGGAATACAGAACCCAAAAATTGAACTTGTCACCCCAGAAAGCGTCAGATTTGTGGCCTGCAGTCCGTGACCCTGCAGGGGCAGACAGGGCCCTGGCAAGGCCGCCAAAACAGGATCATCCCACGCTGCAAAGCATGTTGGGGATTTTATTTCTCCAAGGTCAAGGTCACCAACTGGCTTTTCCCCTGGGTTTTTGCCCTTTATTAGAGCAGGCCTGTAAGCTGCCTTCAGTGCCCAACCACCCTGGCCATCTTTGAGCCAGCGGGAGGGATGGCCAGGGCTGGCAGGGCAAGCTTGGAGGAACAGCTTAGAGGGTCACTCTGACCGAGGCAGGGAGCTCGCACGAAGCTGCAGTGTCGTTGCCCTGCCCTGCTGCTGGGACTTACAGGGACGTCATCTCCTCTCCACCCCTTGCCCTCACCCTGGCACACTGCTCTGTTCTGTTCTTGAGTCTTTTTTTTTTTGAGATTTATTTGAAAGGCAGAAATACAGAGAGAAAAAGAAGGAGATCTTCTTTCTTCAGGTTCACTCCCCCAGTGGCTGCAATGGCTGGAGTTGGGCCAGGCTGAAGCCAGGAGCTTGTTGCATATCTCCCACATGGGTGCAGGGGCCCAAGTATTTGCCATCTTCTGTTTTCCCGGGCCATTAGCAAGAAGCTGGATCAGAAATGGAGCAGCTGGGATTCGAACCAGCACCCAAATGGGATGCTGGCACTGCAGGTGGAGGCTTTACCTTCTACGCCACAGTGCCAGCCCCTGTCCTTGAATCTTGACTCACAAGCAGCAGCCCTGCTGCTGCGTCAGGCCGCTGCCATCTGGGGAGGAGGCGTGATTCTTCCCCTGTTAGCGCTGTTGCTGCCAAGGGCCTCTCCTGAATGCCGAATCCACTGTGGCTCAGTCCAGCGTGTCTTACCACAGGGTAGAAAGATCGGGTTGGGGGCCAGAGTTATGGTTAAGCCCCTGCTTGTGATGATAGCATGCCATATCAGAGTGCTGGTTTGAGTCCCAGCTGCTCTGCTTCCGCTCCAGCTCCTTGCTAATCTACCTGGGAGGCAGTGTATAATGTCCAAGTACTTGGCCCCTACCCTCCATGTGGGAGACCCAGATGGAGTTCCTAGGGCCATCTTCTGCTGCTTTCCCAGACACATTAGTAGGGAGCTGGATGGAAGGTGGCGGAGTGGGGACCCAAGAATTAATATTTCTGATATAGGATGCTGGCTTGACCCACTACACTACAACACTGGCCCCTATGCATTTTTTTTAAGTATTGACTATTTTCTTAAAAACATTGATTTATTTATTTGAAAGTCAGTTGCAGAGGGAGAGGGAAAGACAGAGAAAGAGATTTTCCCACCGCTGGTTCACTCCCCAAGATGGCCACAACAGCCAGCTCTGCGGCCAGGCCAAAGCCAGGAGCCAGGAGCTTCTTCCAGGTCTCCCATGAGGGCAGCTGGGGCCCAAGCACTTGGGCCGTCCTCTGCTGTTTTTCCCAGGCTCATTCACAAGGAGCTGAATCAGAAGTGGAGCAGCTGGAACGCAAAACGCTGCCCACATGGGATGCCGGCTTCAGAAGTGGCAGCTTTACCTGCCACACCACAAAACCTGCCTCCTCTTTTTTTTTTATTAAAAAATTTAATTTATTTGAGAGGCAGAGACACAGAGAGCTCTCACCTCGTGGTTTATTCCCTAAAATGCCTGCAATAGTTCCATTGCCAAAGTCAAGAGCTAGGAACTCAGTCCCGGTCTCGCACATGAGTGGCAGGAACCTGGTCACTTCAGCCATCACCACTGTCTACCTGGCTCTACCTCAGCAGGAAGCTGAAGTCAGGAGCCAGAGCTGCATATTAACCCAGGCACTCTGATGTGAGACACAGGTACCCCAGCTGGTACCCTGACCTAGACAAAGTGCTGGCACCTTGTATTTTTTATTTTTTTAAAGATTTTACTTATTTGTTTGAGAGGTAGAGTTGCAGACACAGAGAGGGAGAGACAGAGAGAAAGGCCTTCCATCCACTGGTTCACTCTCCAAATGGCTGCAATAACCGGAGCTGGGCTGATCTGAAGCCAGGAGCTTCTTCTGGGTCTCCCATACAGGTGCAGGGGCCCAAGGACTTGGGCCATTTTCCACTGCTTTCCTAGGCCAAAGCAGGGAGCTGGATCGGAAGTAGAGCAGCCAGGACTCAAACGAGTACCCATATGGGATGCCAGCACCACAGGCGGAGGCTTAGCCTACTATGCCACAGCACCAGCCCCCTACACCTTGTAATTTTTTAACAGCTCCTTTGGAATGCATTTTGCGTATCACACAGTCTGCCCACTTGAAGTTCACAGTCAGTGGCTGTCAATCTTACGTCCTGATCTTCCCCTCCCAGCCCTAGGCCACAGCCGATTTGCTCTCTGTAGACTTGCCCTGCTCTGGATGTCGTATATGAATGGGATCACAGTTGCTTTTCTGAATATGTGCTTTATTTGTACACATTAAAAAAATAATAGGGGCTGGTGCTGTGGTGCAGCGGGTTAACGCCCTGGCCTGAAGCAACAGCATCCTTAAGGGTGCCGGTTCTAGTCCTGGCTGCTCTTTTTCTGATCCAGCTCTCTGCTATGGCCTGGGATAGCAGTAGAAGATGGCCCAAGTCCTTGGGCTCCTGCACTAACGTGGGAGACCCAGAAGAAGCTCCTGGCTCCTGGCTTCTGATCGGCACAGCTCTGGCTGTTGCAGCCATCTGGGGAGTGAACCAGTGGATGGAAGACCTCGCTCTTTGTCTCTAACTTTCTCTGTTAACTCTGTCTTTCAAATAAATAAAATAAATCTTTAAAATAATAATAATAATAATAATAATAATAATAATAAAGTGCCAGGAGTGTCCGGAGAAGTGAAACCACCCTGGGACAAAGCAGGGCTCGGACCTGAGCCTTTCAGGAGGCGGGAGGTGCAGACTGGTAGGATCTTCTGAGAAGCTGGGTCTCCAGTGTAAAGGGGCGCTGTGGTGAGCAGGAGTTCCAGAGACTTCCAGCAGGGAGTCAGGCACCCATCTCTGTTTTTCTTGCGCCCCCTCCCCCACAGATGCCCCACGGAAGCCCAGCATAGACGGCTTCTCATCTGATTCCTGGCTGGAGATGGAGGAGGAGTCGTGCGAGCAGCAGCCCCAGGAGGAAGAGAAGGAGGAGGAGGAGGAGGAGGGCGAGGGTTCGGACAAGGCACCGAGGCCGCCCACCGAAGGCCCCGCCTCACCCACCAGCAACCCTTCTGAGGACCAGGAGGCCCCTGGGAAGAAGCCCAAGGCACCCGCCATGCGGTTCCTCAAAAGGACTTTGTCTAACGAGTCGGAGGAGAGTGTCAAGTCCACAGCCATGGCCACGGATTACCCCAAGACGCCCACCGGCTCCCCCAGCACCGAGGTCTCTGCCAAGTGGACCCACCTCACCGAGTTCGAGCTGAAGGGCCTGAAAGCTCTCGTGGAGAAACTGGAGTCCCTCCCAGAGAACAAGAAGTGCGTCCCCGAGGGCATCGAGGACCCCCAGGCACTTCTGGAGGGTGTGAAGGTGGGTAGGGGTTCCTTGGGGTTGGGGGCCGGGGCAGGGGACAGGTTCTTTGCAGTGACTTGGGACAGCTCGGCCCTGGTAGCTCAGCCTAGACTGTTCTGGGAGTTTGTCCAGTGTCAGGAGGGGACCCTAGTGGCTTCTGACTATGCAAGCCTGTCAAGGGTGTCTGAGCAGAGGCCACCAGTAAGCTGCAGAGGGACCTCTCAGAAGACTCTGGCTTGTGGGTGACAGCAGGTTCTTTCTCAGCTGAAGTCACGAGACAGAGCCGGCTGTCAAACCTAGGTGCCCCAACTGATGTCCTAACCCCGAGGCCCATTGCCAGTCCCTGGAGGATTTGTTTGCAAACAGCTTCCTTGGGACGTAGCTCACATGCCCTTACCCATCCACTTGATGCCCTGAGGCCTCGCCAGCGGCAGTGTTACTTGTCCGGCAGCCGTGCCGGCGGTAGTTTTGGGGACAGAGTCCTCCTTCCTGGTCAGGAAGCCTTGCTGTTCCGGCCAGCTTCCCTGCAGTGTGCATCTGTTTGTTTTTCTGGGAGCAGCTTGTACAGCCGCCAGCCAGCCAGAGCGGGGCCTACCTGCCTGCGGCTGGGCAGCCGAGAATGGCAGGGCAGGGCCAGTGCGGTGACATTGGGCGGCTGGGTTCTGTCGGCGTGGTAGAGACTGTCCTGGATGTCTATCCAGGCACCAGGAGGATGTTTGATTGCATGTAACTAACGAGGCAGTAGGCTCAGAGAGGTTAAGGCACATGTCTGGTGTCACAGAGCCGGCCGATGATGGAGCTGGGAGGAGGGCCTCCGGAGCTCCCTTTGAGCTCTGTGATGTCTGATGCCCACGTCAGCTGCCCGCGGGGTTGGACACTGAATCTAAGTGTCTTCATGGCTCCAAGCTTCTGGGCACTTGGTGGTCCATATTCACGTAGGCAACACTGTGTTAGTGCCAGGGTATGGAAGTGCTAAGACTGTCCTGCTCTCTGGGGGCTCAGTGACCAGTGGGGTCCAACAGAGGAGACCTGGGGCCCACACAGGTAGACTGACAGGGACCACCAGCAGAGGGAGCCGGTGCATAAAATCACTTGTCCAGGTGTAGCTCCCGCACACAGCAGGTGTGCGCGTTCCTTCCAGATGCTGTGAAAGCAAAGGCTTGCGGCTCAGGGGATATCGCCAGGTAAGAGCTCCCTGGAAAGCAAATCTCCGCTTGTGAATGGGTCTGTGCCATGGAAGCCTGGCATTTTGGGGAGGTTGCTGACCCTTTTTGGGGGGAGTTTGTGGAAAATAATGGACTCCCCCATTTTCCCCAGTATTTGTTTATATACACAGAATTTTACATGTGATTTAGGGGATCTTGAAGTTAAGATCCTCCCGCCCCTGTCTCCCTGATCGCCTCCAGGGTAATGTCTGCCTCGTTCGTTTCCTGGGGCTGACAGAATGGAGTCCCACACACTGCGGGCTTAAATGACAGAACCCCCCCCTCCCCCCGAACCAGGAGGCCACGCAGGCTCTGGGGAGGGTCCTTCCTTGTCTCCTCCAGCTGTTGCCCGCAGCCCCTGGCCTTCCTGGCAGGTAGCCCTGTCGCTCCTGTCTCTGCCTCCTCGCTGGGACTGACTTCCTGAGTGCTGCCGTTGAATATGGGCCCAGCCTATGCAGTGTGACCTCATCCTTGCTTGATGCGATCTGATGCTGGGTGCTCGTGGTTTAGGGAGGCGCACATTCAACCCCATATCTCATCTCCTCCCTCTTGGGTTGGCAACCTCCATCAGTAGGTGAAAGTCCTAAGATAGGAAGGAGTCCCTCCTAGAGGCATCTCGATCCAACTAGAACCCAGGGGGCTTGGAGGGCCTGTGGCTGTTTGGGGGCAGGTCTCCTCTTCAAATCAGTTGTGACTGGAAGAAAACCAGGTGTCTTGCAAGGTTGTGAAGGGCCTGGGCCTGCATGGAAAGAGACTGCCAAGGCTGGAAGTGCGTCTTTCTTTTTGTCCAATTCCCGTTTGCAGGGTGATTCCGCAGCTGCTTAGTGAGAGGTCCCAGTAGCCCCCCTCCTTAATTAAGGCCACGCCACACCCTCCTTCCCATGACTCCTCACTCCCCCACCTGCCAGAGTGTCAGACAACTCACTGTGGGAATCCACCTTTCTTTTAAAAAAATAAATAAATAAAGTTTTTTTTTTAGACTTACCTATTTATTTGAAAGGTAGAGTTACAGACAGAGAGGTCGGTCTTCTATCCACTGGTTTACTCCCCAAATGACTGAAACAGCTGGAGTTGGGCCGATCCGGAGCCAGGAGCTTCTTCTGGGTCTCTCACATTGGTGCAGGAGCCTAAGGACTTGGGCTGTGTTCTATTGCTTTCTGAGGTCATGGCAGAGAGCTGGATTGGAGGAGGAGCAGCCAGGACTCGAACCAGCGTCCATATGGGACGCCAGCACCTCAGGCGGAGGCTTAGCCCACTATGCTATAGCACCAGACCCCACCTTTCTCATTGTGTGGAATTATGGGTCCCCAGGGAATTACTGGACTACTTGGAATTATGGGTATGAAAGAAACAGGAGCCATTGTTTTCAGGTGTTATTTTTTCTTAACACCAAGCTCCAAGTATAAGAGGAAGGAACCCTCAGTTAAGAGTGCACTATCCACACAGGTGTTCCATTTTAAGAGGAAAAGTTCTGGAGTCAGGCTGAAGCCCCTGTGCTACCCATCACCTGCTGAGTGCTTTTATGGATATTGGAAGATGGTACTGGTGCGGACCCCTGCATCGTGGGGCTGGGAACCCAGGGAGGTGGTGTTTGTGCTTGAAACTAGAGCTGACAGTGTCTCCAGTGTTCCAGACAAGGTGGCATGGAGTCAGCCCAGTTTACGGTCAGGTTCAGGGGCTTGTGAAGCCTGTACCACTGCAAGAGGAGGGAAAGGAGCAGGAAGGCCCAGGAATCTATTCCAACCTGGGCAAAGCTACACCCGATAAAAGGGTGGCTTGAGCCAAACAAGGTGGGGCACTTTTTTTTTCTTTGGCCTAAGATTATTTCTGGGCCCCCAAACCACAAAAATAATCCCTACACGTTCCACAGCTACATCGGCTTTCCAACTCAATAAACATTTACATTTCCCTGCGCTTAGAACCTGTTCAGTGGCTGACAGAGGACGGGGCAGGGTGTCCCCACAGGAAGTAAGACACAAGCCACAGAGAAGTCAGCGGCCGGCCTCGGTGGCATTTTGCCAGGTGCCAGGTGCCTTCCTTGCGTTAGATGTCTCACTGCCACTGCTGCTTTCCCGTCATTGTAGATAGGGAAGCAGAGAGGGGTGCGGTGCCTTGGCCGTGATGTGCTATGGCAAGGGCGTTTGCTAGTTTCCTGTGGCTGCCCTGACACATTACTTACTGCAAACTCCATGGCTTCAAGCAACAGGAACTGATCCTGCGATGTCTCCAAGGCCGGAAGTCCAGGCTCACAGTGTGGGAAAGGCCGTGGTCCTCGGGCAGGATCCTCCCTACCTCTTCCCTCCTGGAGCCTCCTGGCCTGTGCTTGCTTCTCTCCAGTCTCTGCCCAAATCTCTTCTCTTTCTTGTAAAGACGGAAGCCGTTGGATTTACAGACTGTCACATCCTTAGATTCTCAGTACATTTGCAAAGACCTTTTTTCCAAGTAAGGTAACTGGGGATTAAGACTTGATCACAACTTTTGGGGGGACACACCTCAAGCCACTGCAGATGGGTTTTCACCTGTAGCCGCAAGACAGTTGGGCTGGAAAGGAGGGAGGGGTCCTGAGGGCCTTGGGTTACACTGACACTTGGCAGGGGTCCTCACTTGTAGCGAGGAGGCTCCCTGAGTTAAACCGACACTTGGCGGGGGTCCTCACCTGTAGCAAGGGGGTTCCCTGAGACCGCCAGGTTCCCCAGCTGCTCCCTGCCATTACTGCCCTGTGTCTCTTACCAGCCTGCAGCTGGTGCTTCTATCCCGAAGCCTGCCTCTGTCTTACTGTCCCAGCTGTAATGTTTTTAGTCACTGCGTAGATGGAGTTTCTAATTAGTAATCCCCATACTGAGGAGCAATGGGCCTGAACCCATTGTTAGTGAATTAAACTCTTTGAGAAAAGTTGGCATGAGGGAGGGCCGAGGGGCAGCCGCCCGTTGTCTGTGGTTGTCTTGTTAGGTCAAACACAGGGCAGTTTCCGGCAGAAGCTCTCAGAAAACCTGCCCTGGGCTTTCCGAGGCAGAAGGCTTGTGGGTGTAACCCTTAGGGGGCCGAGCTGGTCTGGCTACCAGACCTGCCTTGTATCTACACTTCCAGAAGCCGCAGGGAGTATCAATTCAGGCAGGGCATGGCGACAATGCTCCCCTCCAGCACAATCTACTTCTCAGAGGCAAAAATCTCCAAATAGAATAATCCCTTTTCCTGCTGCCTGACTCACACAAAAATGCTTACCCAAGGGACAGGACTCAGGGTGCCCCCTGGTGGCCACAGAGGGGAATACCAGCTTCCCGAAGTGCAGGAACTTGGTGGAAAATGGAACAAAAGACAATTTTAACAAAATATCTATCTATCTATCTATCTATCTATCTATCTATCTATCTATCTATCTATTTGAAAGGCAGAGTTACAGAGAGAAAGGGAGGGAGAGACAAGAGACAGAGCTTCCTTTCTCTGGTTCATTCCCCCAAATGCCTGCAATGGCCAGAGCTGGGCCAGACTGAAGCAAAGAGCCAGGAGCTTCCCTCGGGTCTACAGCATGGGTGCAGGAGCCCAAGGATGTGGGCCTTCCACTACTTTTCTAGACACATTAGTGGGGAGCTGGATTGGAACTTGAGCAGCCGGGACTTAAACTGGCGCCCATATGGGATGCTGGCTCCTTACCCATTACACCACAGCACTGGCCCACAGACAAGTTTATTTTGGGACCAAAGAGACCTCGGAATAATATATACAGAGGCTTCAAAAAGTTAACAGAAAACACATATTATGAAAAAACTTTGTGGATTTCAAGAACTTTTGAAGCAAATTAATTTGTTAATTCCA